CATATCGACTCCCTTATTTCGGAATTCATACCGACCTGCCGTGAAGACGTAGAGTGTGTTGTCCAGATCAAAGTCATTGTGGCCATAGAAGTGACCGCGGACGAAGTCGTTGATCTTCTCTTTGGACTGGGAGTGCAAGTTTTGGAACTCATGCACTGCTGCGAATTTCTTGACATTCAATCCATTGGGAAGCACTCCGTCCGGTTTGCGCTTGAGCAGATGCTCACTTTCAAATGCAGTGATGTGGGAGACCGTAGTGAAGACGTCCGCGCTGTGCGCGGCGGCTCTCTCAATGCAGTACCTATGATAGATGCCTCTCTTGCCAGCCTCGGCGTCCACATCAAAATGCTGTAGATTGTTGTAAAAGTCGACAGATCCGGCGCAAAGATACCGACCAAGCAAAGTTGCATGTGTCGTGAAGATCGTGGTCAAATCCATGTGCCTCTTCTTGGTCAGGGGCAGGGCGACACCGGCAAGCCATTCGTGGAAATGAGCGACTACTGCACGCCGGCGTTCGTGAGCGATAAACTAAGGCCATCAGTTAGCATCATCGCCTTGCAGCTCAATCTGCTGCCAACGTCCACGGAAGCGCACGTACTTCTCCCAAAAACCATGCCACCAGGTAACCGAAGACAATGGCCTCATTGGTCTCCGTATCCGACGCCGGAGACGGAATACCGGCGATATTCCAGAGGTCGCCCTTCCACTCATCCAGGTACTTGTATCCAGTTCCTGTATCGATGAGGAGAACCCGGGGCGCACCCTCAATCAGCCAGCGACCATACACCATGTCAATGCCACGCTCCTTCATGGAGTTCATGGTCTCCACCATGCGGGGATTCGAGGGAGTCAGCTCCTCGACCTCCACGGCTGCAGAGGCCCGGTTCAGAGGGCCGATCAGGGTGTATCGATCGCCATATTCAGCCGTAGTGACCGGAGCTTTAGATTTCAGCACCGAGTAAATACCACCAACTCGGTTGGCGACTTCGGTAGCAATCTCAAAGAGAATGTGGTTGCGCACATCTCTCTTGGGAGGGTCGGGACCAGTATCCTCGCTGTCCATTGTGTGCCTTGAATTGTGAATTAGAAGGTGTAGGAGTATGCAATATCGTAAGAATCAAAGCAGAAAATAATTGAAGCCAATCTCGGGCAGAGCTGACCAGCACGAAGCACAATCCAGCTGGGGTCAAAGGTAACAAAGAGAGAAAGGTGGGCGCTGAGGAAAAGAAATGGAAGAGGCACGAACCTGCAGCTTTTCGTCTCCCGTCTTCCTTTCTCCCTTCTCCAAGAAAAAGGTAGTTTCGACCGTGCGGGGGTCCGAGTGGCGGGGATTAGTCTAGTGTGGGAGGTTGGTTCTGCGTTTGTCCAGATTCAGCTGCGGGTGAGGTTCGTCTTGTCTCAGGTACCCGAGGAACGCAAGAGAAGAGGGAGGGATAAAGAGGTTTTGAAGGGAGTTCAAAATATAGCGAAGAGGTAGAATTATAAAACTTGGAATGCCAGTAATTTATCTGACGACAAAAAAAAGAAAATTTCTGCACTCCCTTAGTTCGTCTCCTTTTTAATGTACTGTCCTGCTACTTGCTTAAAAGTGTTGGGGGGGGTTGCGCACCTAGACCAAGGACAAGGAAGAGAGGCTACCGTTCTTGCAGACCTTAGCCCGGCCAGCTTGACCAGGGTTTTGTGTCTGTGCAACCACTGTTCTTCTGCCTTTTATAACTACTTTTATTTTCTGTTCCCACAATTGAGTACTGAGTACTTGACTATTTTAGTAGCAGTGTTAATTTGCATCGGAGTAGACCAGAAATGTTCTCGGTGTACAATGGTAGCTTTGCGCCTTTATTTCATGCAGTACCTCTCTATGTACCTCCGTAACTAGCGCTAATTTTGAGCTTTGCCACTACAAGGGTCTCGCCCTCCTACATAAACTGTCGATCGTTCGAATTTCCCACCATCGCAGAACTAATCCAACGAGAGATTGATGATCAACAGGTCATGTCATTTTTTGATCATGGCTCTGTAATGATGGTGTATCATAGTAGCATCCCTCACAGGTACTAACTGTTAACTAAGAATCCCCCGCTCGACAACCGGACAGCAGATCTGGGGAAAGCTGCTGGGTTATGATGTCATGATCCGCCCGTCAGGATCATAGCATGTGACTTTTTTCTGCCAATCAGGTTTTGCCCACTTTTAGCGTGTTTGATTCTTGCACCATTATAGAGAGGTACCATGGTCACCACTTATGTTTTAACTATTCTGACTGTTAGAGGCATGAGCTACACAGGTACATTTGTGCCGTTCAAAAAAGCCTGACTCCCAAATAACTTTGTTCTGTCGGCCAAGGATCGCAGTCGGCTTCTCGGCTATCTGATCATACGTGAGAAAGCTCTGGTCCTAGAATGCAGTGATCACAGTTGTGTGATTGGGGTTCTGCCAGGGCTCGAAAAGCGACTGCCGCATTGTCAATGGCACTGATGAAGGGGATTGCCATCGCCGCAGGCTGTATAGATCTTGCTCTGACTGCGAATCACTGCACATGGGGCCTCGTCTGAGAGGTTCTCCGATCCCACAATGACGAAAGCAACGAGAGTTAGCAGGTTCAATGAATAGCATAACTAACACACCCGTGAAAACCAACTCGGGCGCGGGACACGGTGATCGTTTTGTTATCGAGAAATGCTGCCAGACCATGCCCATGCCTGGTTTGCCTGGCTCAGCAGAGGTACCGGCGACCAAGACAACGGCGTGGTTCCCGCGCGTATACTCGATGGTTAATCAATCAGGGGCTTCCATGGCTCAGGCACCAACGACTCCATGTAGAGCGCTGTTATACTTTCGCCTTCCCCAAACTGATACAGGTGGATTTCTCGAGCCAGTCGGAGGTCACCGCTGGCATACCTGGTGGTGCCGCTGCAGAACCGCACGAGGAACATGCATATTGACCTTATTGTTCTATTGTTTCTCTCGTCGTTTACACACTCCAGTCTTCAGAACACGAAGATCTGGCCCAGCTTGATCCCCTACCCGAAAGATGCCAGATCTAATGAGGATAGAATATGGATGTGGAGCCTGGTGTGCATTAGAAATATAGATATCCAAGTGCTCTATTTCATCATGTCTATCCATTTTTTATCTAGAATCTGTTTATAGTCAAAAGTCCAATGAGAAGAAAGCTGTTGCACCGTCTACCTCAAGGGAGAATCACAATCTTCCCTTCCGCTTCATTTTCTTCCATACACCGATGGGCCTCCACAATCTGTTCCATCCGCAACACTCGTCCTATCTTGAATTTCAAACTTCCCTGCTCAACCAGCCTCAGTACTGCATCCAGCGGCGTGCTCATGAAATCCTCAGACGTCCCCCGGTACACTGTCAGCTTGATCCCGGAGGGGATCAACTCCAACAGATCCAGCTTCTCCTGATCCCCATTCTCACTCAGCCTGCCAACCAGGGATACAACACCCCCTTTCTTCACACACCGCAGCGAGTCCGCCAAAGTAGCCGCACCCACCAGCTCAAGCACTTTATCATAGTAACCGCCCGAGCCAGCCTCCCGGATCTGCTCCGCAACCGCCCCATCATCAATCCAGACCCGATCCGCCCCATTCTCAAGCAACATCGCCTCCCGCTCCTTCTTCCTCGTCGTACTGGCCACATACGCCCCATGCACCTTCGCAATTGCAGCAGCCACCAGCCCCACAGACGTCGTCCCCCCACGTATCAATAACCGATCCCGGGCCTTAAGCCCCAGCGACCGAATCAGCGCCCCCCACGCCGTCGGCACCATCACCGGAATCGCTCCGAGAATCTCCCATGGCAGAGTTGTCTTGGGCCGGAGGAGCTGCGTCTGCCTCGCCGGAACGCATATGTACTCGGCGTAGCCCCCGTCGAAAACACTCCCCATCCCGCCCATGGCGGTCGCTACGATGCTACCCGGCAGGAAAGTGTCTTCTAGGCCTGGCGCTGCGTCGACTATGCCGACGGCTTCGATGCCGGGGATTCGTGGGTAGGTGATGGGGTGGTGGCCGTGGCCTTGCCGGGTGAGGAGGTCAGAGCGGTTGAGGCCGAATGCTTTGATTCTGATGCGGAGTTCACCTGGTTTAGGAATTGGGATAGGGTGGTGAGTGAGTTTGAGAGCGGCTGGGGGGCCGGGGGTATGCAGGATGATGGCTTTCATGGAGGGCATTTTTTCCCTTCAAATTAAGTAATATCCGTAGGGTTATTATCTGGAAGGATTGGTAGGTGTCTACTACATGATTTAAGTTGTGGTGAGATGGGAGGACGGTCCATTTTTTACCCTTCCTGCATAATCCCTCCTCGTGCATGCAGCATATGATATATCTCGACGGCGAGTCAAGCAACGCATGCTCAGCTGCTCACGAGTTGTTGGTTCTTATCTGCACCAAGCGTGGCTGAACTGTTCAGGCAAAAGATCCGTGCCTGAGGTATCTGCAGTGTATTTGCCAGTTGGCGGGGTAATATTGCCTGAAGGATCAGGTACGCCGAACACGATACATGCTCAAATCATCTAGCTCCATACTCGCGTGTCCATTTGCCAAATCTTACCTCTTAACCTGCCAAATATATCTCAAATATCGTAATAGAACCCTTCAGACCCTCTATCAATGACTAATTCACTTTGTTGTCATCGTACCTCGACCGGACAGATGAAGTCATTGGTTCTCGTCCTCGCTCCACAATGACCTCATGATGCTGTCAGTGTCGTCTTCCACTATGACCAAGAATATCTACCACGTCGGTTCGGTTCCATCGAGCTCAGAGAGAGCTATATAGAGCCCGGAAGTCCCTTTGCTGCTGGCATCATCTACTATCGATTCCAATTCAACTCAATTCATAGACCGCAAACTACACTACACTACACTACAATACCAATCCTCTCGTCAACTCTCTATATCGTACGGATCCCACGCAAACGCTCAATCAAAACCAGCTAGCTAACACCTTCCAGATCTACATACCTTCAAAAAGATAACGAAATCATGCCTCGCGGAGCAGAATACGACAACGGCATCCCCCAGTCCGACAACGCCATCGAGGCCGGCGAGACAAAGGTCCACGGTACCAACTCTGCTGTATGTCCACCTTCACCTGAAGCACCCCCCAGTCCCACATTCACAAGAAGAGTATGATTACTGACGAACAACAGAACGACCACCTCGATCGCGTCAACCGCACGGCTGATCTCCCCGATGTCCCTGCCGGCGGCATGCACAGCGGCGGTGGTGCCCCCGGCCACTCGAGCGGCAAGGGCGGTCATGAGCCTCGTACCCTAGGCGAGAACAAGGGTCTTGGTGCGCATAAGGCGTAAGATTTGACTTCGAGTGTGTTAGATTTGGGGAAACCGGCATGCGGGTTTTTGCTGGAGTTTGGTCTGGGTCTGGGTCTACGCGGTGCGTTTGGGCCTGGTCTGATCGGGTCTGGTCTGTATGGTATGCATTCATTGAAGCGAGGGCTTCGTTATGATTCAACTGTAAAGTATACAATTCATTGATGAAATAAAATCTATATGAAATCATGGATGAAGTATGTGTTTCGTGGGTTGAGGACGTAGTAGCATCATATATACAAGTCCCAGCACTGTAGCACCTCCTTATTAATATTATGAACATGTCGGCGGTTAGCGGTGCCGTCGGACAGTAAAGTTACCATGTCATGCCATGCCATGCGTCCTAAGGTCAAGAGGAACTCCTCGAACTCTCTTCGCTGTTCTCCCGGGGCGATTCCTTCGGTGACTCGGTTGATGCGGCTGGCTTCTCGTCCGGCGAGGAAGTACTCTTGCCCTGGACCAACTCAAGCAGACGCTGTCCCAAATCTCCGAAGCCGTCGATCTTGCTTAGCTTACTTTGGAAATGTTCTGCATCTCGTTGCATCCTAGGAATGGTTAGAACAGATCGACAACGAAATTGACACAAGCGGCGTACCTTTGTTTACCGGCTTCCGTGCGGACGGTGACCTCTTCAAAAGCTCGGGTCCATTGATCGCGGTAGCTTCTAAACACAGGGTCCATGATCATCATGACTGTCATCTCCGGCAGATGCTTGCTCAAAACACGGTGCAGTGTGCCCGTTTCTTTGGTCAAGGTCTCCATGTACGCGTTGACATTATTTCCCGCCGTCGCGTCCCAGTCAATCTTCTTCATTGCGTTGACGTGCACAGAAGACCGGCCGCTCATTATGTCGACGAGTTTCTCGTGGATCCCAGACTGATGTTCCTGGTACAGCCGCTTGACCTTGTCGAATTCGCCCATCAGGGGGCTGGACGGAGCATGCCGTCGCACAAATTCCCTTATATAAGGTACCAACGCGATAATAAAGCTCAGAGCTTGTGAGGAGAGAGCAAGATGTTTTGTGGTAATATTTTTCAAGCCCGCGCTCCTGGTGGCTCCAGCACCAAGAATGAGCTGCGAAGATCGAGAATTGAATAACTTCAATGACTCCAACAGACCAGGGGCGATATCCTGTATCATGCTTGGAATATTGGCCATAAGAAATTGGAACTCCTCAATGCTCTTCATCATCGCCACCGCGCATTCGGGAAGGATATACTTCTGCTCATCGATCACGGCACTGCGCACCTTGTCCTTGCCTGCGCCATTGGTAGCAGCAGACTCGCGTCTCGGTTTCTCGTTCTGCTGTTGCTGCGGCGACCAGATCCTAGAGGCAGCTAACCAGGTTTCAACATCCTTGGTGCTTGCATCGAGAATTTTGTTGAGAATAGCAGTTTCAGTCTCACCAAAATCGCGCGCGTCCCATCGGTCAGAGTCCATCACGTCGACGAGACGGTGCCGTTGGTTCTCCCCAAATCTGTTAATGTAGTCGCGGATCTGGTTGCTGACAACAGTCTTCAGGGCTGTGCCGCTTCTCCCAGAGATAGCCTCGCATTCGTCGGCGAAAAGTCGATTCAGTGTGAAGTAGCGGAGAAACTCCTCCTTGGGCAGTTGAGATGTCTGTTCCGACCGGACCTTCAATACCTTTGTAACTTGTGACTGAGCAATATCAACAGCCTGTCCAAGAAGGCTGGACATGTCCAGAACCTGCAAGATTTCGTCCTGCGCTTGAATCGTCGCTGGCAGCCGAGAACCCATAGGGTTGGTCATACTTTGTGGGTCAGGACTTCGAGGGGGTGAACTGAGGCCAGCAGCCGCAGGATTTTCAAGCCCACTGGCGATGTCAAGAAGTACTTTGACTTGAACACTAAGTCTCCGCAGTGACTCGCTGATACCGGTATAGACTCGTATAAGCATGTTGTAGGCATCCTCCGAGTCTAGAGCGCGCAGGTTGCGAGCCAGTATGGATGATTTCTCTTGTTGACTACGTTGTTGGGACCTGTGCGTAGAGACTGACACCACCGACTCGTTGTCATCATCGCTGGAGCTAGGCATATGTTTGCGGATTAGGCCCTTCATCTCCCGGAGAACTGCTGTCTTGAACGACGTCGCTGCTGGTGTCGTGTATTGCGCACGGGCAAGTCCAATTAGATTCGTAAGGAGCCGTGATCTCATGTCTTCGTCAAACTTCATATAAGCTGGGGATGACGAGGCACCCGAGCGCTGCGCTCCGCGTTGTCGTTGGAGCGAGGAGCCCCAGCGTTGAAGTGTCACATCCGAGGGCACATTCTCGATGTGTTTGCGCAAGTCCCCAAGTAGGTCATTCAAGAAACGGTTCTCGTATCCCATGCCTATCCGGTATCTCAGTTGCGCAAGGTCATCCGAAGCGCCTTCAAGGGCCTTGAGTCTCCGCAAGTCGATCGGCTTCCTGGATCGATCTCGAGACGCACCATCCTCGCCGCTATTGGTGGTTTGCTCCCCAGCCATCAATCGCTCCACTTCTTCAAGACTGTCTGCAGCTTCCTCGATTTGCCCGTTCTCCACTAATTCCTCGCATCGGGCAACTGACAGAACCACATCTCGCAGCTGAGATACCGCGTCCGCAAGCATTCGCACATTCTCCCTGCGGCGTCGCAGATTGACGATTTTCAAACCACCCAACGCCATCTCACGGTCAATCTTTTGAAGATCTTTCCGTAGGATTTGTATCCTTTTGACCGAATCGGCAGCCTCTGAATGTAACTCACGCAGGGAGCCCAGCGCGGTAAAGAACGATTTAGACGCACTCGAGATGGAAGAGATGAGGTGGACCTCGACAGTATCCATGTACCACGAAAGTTTTTCTTGGAGGATTGCATTTGTGGCAAGCGCCTTTCTCCCGGTGTTTGCTGTTTCAGCGGCCGATTCAATGGTCCCTTGGCCGTCCTTTCCAGGTAGCTTTGGCGGTCTCACAACTTCCGACTTCTCAGATACGACGTCGAACGTCCGAGGGTTTTCGAGGCGAAAGTCATCCTCGAAATAAACCGGCGGAATTACAGACAGCGGAGTGATGCCCTGGCCGCGGCCGCGACCAGATGACCGCCTTCTGCCCCGTGGATCGAAAGGCGATGTTGCTCTGGAACTCGTCGACAGCACGGATGCTCGTCTCTCCGTAGATAGGGGCATCAGAGAGCCATGCTCGTCTGGCCTCGAAGCAGTCTTGCCATCCCGAGCTTGTTGAGCATCCTGGTCGGCCGTAGACTCTTTTGCCTGCTGAAACACCTCGTACAGTGACCCAACCTGCGACAGGTACGGCTGAAAGGCTTTGGAGTCAACATGGGGAATATTTGTCAATGTGACCGGAGGGATATCTCGTGTGCTGGGCGGCTTGTACCCGGTAGATGCTACGGCGGTATGTGGAGCAAGACCTGTGCGGACGATAGGGGGCTGAAGAAGGGTGGAAATTGCTGCACGGCGCATTGATTAGTGATAAGAACAAGCATGAGAGACCAGAGACTCCGCACCATTTTGTCCTGACTCCGCGATTGAACCATGGTGTTGGGATGGATCGAGCACCCCTCCAATGCTAGCAATGCTAGCTATGGAGCTGGCAGTTGATCCTCTTCGCAAAGGGTACTTTTGAGGCGGAGCACGGGGAGATTCGATCTGACTGAGCGAAAATTGAGAAATCGAAGGCGTGGATATACCCGAGGCCAAGCTGTCGATCGATTTGCGTGGGCTCATAGAGGACATTGCGTACAGGCCTAATGACCGACTCCGGCGGCCAGAAGTTGGAGAGCAACACTATCTTAACATGACACGGGGACAGCTGTTCGAATCGTTCTAGAAGTGACAGAGCAGCCGTCTTTTCACCAACGATGTTTCAACTGCGCAGTCGGCCTGTCAATAGGGGGGGAAGAGACCAATTTCAAGAAAAGACACAAGGAAAACAGGCCGCAACGTCACCCAGATTCCACCGAGCAATGATACGGGGCTTCATTCTTTGGGGGATCATGACAGCGCATCCTGATCGGGTAAGGCGCCAGGCCCCGAGGCCGCGGCACCTAGGCCTGTTTTGGGTATCGGGTGAACATATTCCCGGCATCGCCGCGGTGTTCAGGCCAAAGCCTGCGTCTGCCTGAGGCCAAAATCAATTAACGCGTGGTCGAACGCGACGCGTTGCATTCGTGTTTTAACTGTGCAAAAGTTGTCCGCATCTTCTCCTTGATAGAGAGGTGCTCCGTCATCCACTCAATCTTCCCCTTTCCCATCAGCCTCTATCGCTGTCTTCAATATGGACAGACGTACTCCCTATACTCTGAGCGTTCTTGCTCCCAGCACAGATGGCGCAGAAGAGTCCCGCACACAAATCCAAGCAAGGTTGCGCGAGTTTGTACTGGAGTTCCAACTTGACAATGCATTTATTTACCGGTATTTTGCCCGATGAACAATAAAACCTTGTACAGACTAACCGAATTTACAGTGATCAACTGCGGCAGAATGTTCTCGTGAAGCAATACTACTGTGACATTGATATTGCCCATTTAATATCGTACAACGAGGAGCTCGCTCACAAGCTCACAACTGAGCCTGCCGATATCATCCCCCTTGTGAGTATTGCCTTCGGACTGTCTAGAACGGCCGGCTCTAACCATTTTATCCCTTCCTTTCTAGTTCGAGGCAGCTCTCCAACAATGCACTCAGCGAATTGTCTATCCATCTCAGAGAGACATTGTCCTTCCATCCCACCAGCTCTTGCTTCACTCATCTGCATCACACATCTCCATTCGGGACCTGAACGCTACAAACATCTCTCACCTTGTTCGCATTCCAGGAATTGTGATTGGCGCGTCTACAATATCATCCAAGGCCACGGTTGTCCACATTCGGTGCAAGGGCTGCGACCACAGCGAAAACATCCGAGTGGAAGGCGGTTTCTCTGGTCTAACGCTTCCCAGACGGTGTGGCCGTGAAAAGCTACCCGGTGAAGAGCCTGGCGAGCAGTGCCCCCTCGATCCTTATGTGATTGCCCACGAGAAATGCCAGTTCGTTGATCAGCAAGTTCTCAAACTGCAGGAAGCGCCCGACCAGGTGCCGGTGGGTGAGCTGCCCAGACACGTCCTCATCTCGGCCGATCGATACCTGGCCAACCGAGTTGTACCTGGATCTCGATGCACAGTGATGGGTATTTTCTCTATTTACTCCAAGGGGGGCAAGAAAGACGGAGCTGTGGCTATTCGCAACCCATATCTGCGGGCAGTTGGCATCAGCACCGATCTGGACCACACAGCAAAGGGCAATGCCATGTTCACCGAAGAAGAAGAGCAGGAGTTTCTAGAGCTTAGTCGCCGAGAGGATCTGTATGAAGCTCTCGCCAGGAGCATTGCCCCCTCTATTTGGGGTAACCTGGACATCAAAAAGGCCATCGTGTGCCTGCTCATGGGTGGTTCGAAGAAGATTCTACCCGACGGGATGAAGCTTCGTGGAGACATCAACGTGTTGCTCCTTGGTGACCCCGGTACTGCCAAGTCGCAATTGCTGAAGTTTACTGAAAAAGTATCCCCCATCGCTATCTACACATCCGGTAAAGGTTCGTCAGCGGCTGGTTTGACCGCATCAGTACAGAGAGACCAGCAGACGCGCGAATTCTATCTAGAAGGTGGTGCTATGGTCCTGGCTGATGGAGGTGTTGTCTGTATCGATGAGTTCGACAAGATGCGCGACGAAGACCGGGTCGCCATCCACGAAGCTATGGAGCAGCAAACAATTTCCATTGCCAAAGCCGGTATCACGACCATTCTGAATTCGCGAACATCGGTGTTGGCGGCTGCCAACCCTATCTTTGGCCGATACGATGACTTGAAAACACCTGGAGAGAACATTGACTTTCAAACGACCATTCTGTCACGTTTCGATATGATCTTCATCGTTCGCGATGACCACGACCGCAATCGTGACGAGAACATTGCCCGGCACGTCATGGGAGTCCATATGGGTGGCAGAGGTATCGAGGAACAAGTCGAGGCCGAGATTCCGTTAGAGAAGATGAAGCGCTACATCAGCTACTGTCGAAGGTATGTCTTTTACCGCATATTTTCAAACCAGAAATCAGGCTAACAAGTGGGCCTAGCCGGTGTGCCCCGCGTCTTTCACCCGAAGCTGCGGAGAAGCTTTCCTCGCACTTTGTGTCCATCCGGAAGCAGGTCCATCGGGCAGAGATGGATGCTAACACCCGTTCCTCCATTCCCATCACCGTGCGTCAATTGGAAGCCATTGTTCGTATCACCGAGTCATTGGCCAAGTTAAGCCTGTCGCCGATCGCCACCGAGGCGCATGTCGACGAAGCCATCCGCCTCTTCTTGGCTTCCACAATGGATGCAGTCACACAAGGTGAAGGCCAGGGCAGCAAAGAGCTGATGGAGGAGGTCAGCAAGATCGAGGATGAGCTAAAGCGTCGTCTCCCCATTGGCTGGAGTACGAGTTTGGCCACTCTGAGACGGGAATTCGTCGATGGCAGAGGCTACACTGAGCAAGCTCTCAACAGAGCATTAGTGGTTCTCCAGAGACGCGATACGATCCAAATCCGCTCTGGTGGATCACAGGTCTATCGTCATGGTGTTTAGTTCGTTGGACATGTTGCGAAGACGCGGCAATCCAATTGCGTATATTCTCTGATTCTGATCAAGGGTTATGAATTAAATGAGGGGGAAGGAGTCCATTTTGACCTTGCGATACTTGGGCATGAGGGGTTTGAAACGGTGTATGGCGCATGAGCTTCTTTCGGTATGGATTTGCATGACTAGTTAGATCAATATATCCCGCCATGAGTGAATGAGCTCGGTACTTTGCAGCCTGAGACACAATTGCCCAGCTACTGTATTTCTCTATTGAGCGACTGCGGGTTGCTGTTGAGAGGAACCCAAGTGGGGAGCTTCGCAAAAGGTCCCCACCGCAGCAACCCGTCGATGACGGAGTCGATATCTCCATGATTCTACGGAATACCTTCTTCAAGACTGCAACCCTTCCAGCAAACACAATCTATATTGATATAATACCTACTATAATGTAAGTGCCCTCTCCTAGTCAATCGCTACGTCTTGAATTGACCGTCTCGAAGACCCACCGATCTACACAATACTCACCCCGCGTCCCCGCCTTGCCAATAGTTACAACATACAGTCCTTCCTACAATCGATAACAACTACAACCATGGCACCTACAATTCGAGTCATCGGCTCACTTAACGCCGACATGGTCTCTGTAACCCCTCGCTTCCCGGAACCAGGCGAGACAATCACCTCATCCTCATATTTCACCAGCGCCGGCGGGAAAGGCGCCAACCAGGCCGTCGCATGCGGGCGACTGTCGCGGCGGAACCCGTCCTCGACCTCGACCTCCACCAAGCCCGAGAACCAGAGCGATACCGAGAGGGAGATCAAAGTCGAGATGGTCGGCGCCGTGGGCGCCCTGGACGGACACTTCCAGGCGCTGCTGAAACCCACGCTTGAGAGGTCCGGCGTTGACACGTCGCGCGTGAGGGTAGTGGAGGATGCGTATACAGGGGTCGCGGTGATCATCGTGGACTCGTCTGCAGGCGGGGAGAACCGGATTCTGTTCTCGCCGGGGGCGAATTACACGGGGATGCGCGCGACGGAGGACGTGCTGGGGATGGGGCTTGCGGCGCCGGTGCCGGATGTGATTGTCATGCAGGGCGAGATCCCCGTTGACACGGTGGTGGGCATTCTACGGGATATTAGGGCGTGGAAGGCGAATAATCGAGCGCAGGGGAAGAAGGGGATCGAGGCTGGTCCGGACGTCATGTATAACCCTGCGCCGGCGCCGCCTGGTGGACTGCCCGAGGAAGTGTACACTGCCGTCGACCATATCATTATGAACGAGACGGAGGCGGAGCTGATGAGTCCGTCTGAGGAGCACTTGCTCAAGGTTGTCCCCGGTGTGGAGAAGGAGAGCAAGAACGAGAAGGTGGCGCGGTACTTCCACCAGCTGGGCGTGACGTATGTGCTTATCACGCTGGGGTCCAAGGGCGTTTGGTATAGTGCGACGGATGCGGGGACGTCTGGCCCTGCGGATGGAGTCAATCGGTTTACGAAACAGATTCCGGCCGCGAAGGTCAGCAAGGTGCTGGATACCACGGCGGCCGGGGATACTTTTCTTGGTGCATATGCCGTGGAAGTAGCGCGCTGGCGCGAGTCACGACGAGCGAGTGGCAAAGCCGGACAAGACGTGGCTGCAGAGGAGAAGCCATATCGGTATCAAAAGGTCATGGACAAGGCGATGAGTTTGGCGACCCGCGCCGCAGCACGATGCGTAGAGCGACAGGGAGCGATGGACAGCATTCCTTGGGCGAACGAGATATGACGATGCTTGGTATGCGGTGAAATGCAGTTCTATCGAGAGCGTGTATACATACCATACCATTGCACGAGAACACTGAAAAATGGGGCAAATGACTATAGAGTATAAGACCGGGTGACAGACCACAGGTCATCGGGAACGACGATCAGTGGCGGGCATTAAGAAAACTATTCCTAGGAACTCGAGTAGGAATGAGATGGGCTGTGGAACGAACAGCTGAGCATTCAGAGCCTTCATTCTTCAGTGCAGCAGCACTAGGTGCTCGTCTCTTAGGCCTACACACTACGTTCAAGAGTAGATCAATTGAACGGCGGCAAATCGCCAGCGCGTAAGAATCTACCCTTTCCAGCTCGACTACCTCTCGAGAGTTAAAATACACGCAATAGACAGACCGTCCTAGCGTCTCCATGACGCTTTTCAACCAAATCACGATAGTCTCGACGCAGCCGCTGGGGATGAGTTGTCCGTCGTCCGTTTCATATTGTCTCTCGTCCCGCAGGGAACCACTGGCTGAGAACAACCGAGGATTCGACTTTAATTTTAGGTCTATTAGTTTGACCGTGTCATTGACAAATCAGCATGGATTCTCAACCGAGTCAGATGCGGCTTCTGCTAAGCGATGGATACAGTCTGCCTATATTCTGACCTGATGCATGCAAGGACGCCCGGTTTCTGAGATAAGCAGTTAGAAGACTAAGAGTCGGTGGACGCCGAATCATGGCTGTGGAAGTAGGCATTGCTTAAGGAAGGGGCTGAAACAGAGGATGACAGTGCGCAAGAGTAGGACGCGACGTGCTGGACGCATTGGGATCTGACTTTCCTGATTCTTGGAAGTTGAAGCTGAGGAGGTTTAATTCTTGGTATCTAGTCCGTGGGACGCGTCGAAGGGATGGAGTCGTGGTCATCAAGTACTTCCTAGGAGTACTATACTGAATAAGTAGTAGTAGTTTATCTATGTTTCTACCTATATTGTCATTGAGGACTATCTTTGTTAGAACTAATGAACCCATACTGATGATCTACAAGTATGTTGACAGTCACCTACGGAGTAGTGTCGTTATCGCAGCTAGCTACCATAAAGATAAAGGTGATAGGAGATCTATTCTGTAGGATGATCCAAGACAATCAAGGGTTGAATCATGAATGAATGAAGAAAAGTAAGAGACACGAGTTGACGCGACTTGCTGCACGTCGACAGCCTTCATCTATTGAGCAGATGGTGGGAGGAAGTGAGGGGAAGCTACTATGGAAAGAAAGATAATTGGATTGTCTGGAGTCGTGGGATCCTCGAGAGTCCAATAGAGATGCTGATTCAATAATTGATAATACAAGGTGCGCGCCTTGCATAGCTTGTAATCGAGTCTAGTCGTTAGGACCAGGCAGCCTACACCTTAAAACTACTTGAAGGATATCCAACACGAACATGACGCGCTCCATCACGATCACGGTCCAAGTGTGGAGTGGAGGAGGTCCATCAGACACGCTTCAAATACTTCGCTGCATCCCTCGTCCCTCCTCCAGGCATGAAGATGATATCAATCTCTGATTATCATACTACTACTTCATTCATTCTTCGCCGTTGAAGCATCCCTTTGCTGCATCGTTGTACCTGTCAATCAGAACAATTCCTGCCCTCCAATATCGCCAGGAATTTGCCCTGTCTGGTGCCCTTGCCTCCTCTTCTTTTCTGTTGCATCCTCCATACTTCCTCACCGACCATATATCTTCTGTGCTTTGCCTCGTCTGCCTCGTTCTTGATCGCTAATTTCTTTTATCCTCCTAATCCTCACATCCTCTCTACCACGGTCTTCTCCCATCCCTCCCGTCCTGTACATCCGCAGCAGTATCAGATCGTACCATATCATACATCCAACAAGACCGTGCTGTATTATCTCCGTCGCAGCCACACTTAATCCTGCTCCAATCATCATTTACTTCCTCTCTGATCGATAGATCTATCCATCTATCATCTATCTATCTACCAGTACCATCAGCCGGGATCATCAACTTAGACCGCCAATCCCTTGCGGACCCCCACTTCCGCGAAATCAAAACAAATCCAGGCAGCCACAGCTCCGTCTTACTTCCTCGGTCGCATTCGACTGTTATAATAGATAGGACCTGGTTAGTATCGAAAAGAAATCATTCTTGCTTTGACAGCAAGATCTTCAACGGGTGCGATTCGTTTCAGCATCCGTCTCAGTATGGCCGCCCTTACTATGACTCCTACCACAATGCGGCAGCCTTTTGCCAGCCTCGACGCACCGCGTATGCGCTCCTTGCTTAAGACAAAAATGAACATCAAGAACCAGCAAAATGGTATGGCTTTCCTCGGCCCTTGACCATACATGCAACGTCCTTCTAACACTCTGCTTCACGTTAGGTCCGTCCCCTGCCAAAAGGAAGCCTTTGGCCGAGGTTGATGCGGAGAATATTGACCCGGCCACCGTAAACATGTCAACAAAGCGAAAGCGCGGCTGCGACGAAGAAGACCATGATTCCAGCAAATGCTCTCCCAAGCCATTGAAGGCCTCTCGTGTGGCTCTGACCGTCGTGAAATCGAACATTACTTCCCCCATGCCTTCCTCAACCTTCAAGGCGCCTCTCTCGAAACCAAAATCTACTCCAGCTCTCAAGCCTGTCGGCCGTTCGCCTCAGGGCAAATCCTGCAAAGCATTTGCTCGTCGCTCTACCATCAGCAAGAGTCGGCCAGAGCTTATAGGCAGAAAGAGTATATCCCGGCCTTTCTCCATCGCGACAGTATTGGGCAATGTGCAGCCAAAGACCCAGGCCGCCCCTAAGACTCCAGCGTCCTGGTCTTTCGAGATTTACGTGGACTCGGAGCAGGAAGAAATGACCAATCTGATGCAGCACTCCACCTGCGTGCTGGATATCAGTGATGACGAGGGCAAGGCGGAATTGTCAAGTCGCGGCAAGGAGAACATTCCCCCGTCTGAGTTGGGAATTGACCTGTCTCGGACCCGTGAGCGAGAGACTTCCGTCTCAAGAAAGACTGAGATGACGGACGAGCCTCGCTCTCCGCTCGGTGAGCTCAATGCCGCGGACTATTATGGCGAAGACTGCCATGCCTTCTCATATGCCGTGGTTTACGACGAGGATGAAACCGCCTCGGAAACAAAGACCACCCTACCTCCCCTTCCACGCAACCCTACGCATCCCACTCGGACAAAGTTGTCAAGTGTATCGACCATATCCTCGATCCTTGCAGCTACGCAGCCCGCCAAGACTACCGAGTCTACAAAATCTGAGGCACAAATTGAGATCTGGGAAAGCCAGAGCACTGCAGATGAATCAGAAAAGGCGACAGAGAGCTACCCCAGCGACGAGCTCTCTTCATCAACGGCCTGATTAATTAATGTTTGAAATAATCATTTGTTCTGTTAATAATAGTCTGGATGGCACCGGCGTTTGAACTAGCGGGTTGGACACATTTGCATGGCGTTAGAAAATGGTTCCTGTTTCTGGAACTGTTCGAACTTGGATACCCTCTCTTGCCCTCCCTTGATCTTGTCATTTCTTTTCTTTCCATAATCAGCAATTGGGTCCGTCATGACGACCTTAGTTCCTTAATCATCATTGTAGTCACTCCTGCTTAGCTTCCTTGTTCCAGTTCTGCTTAGTGTTCTGGCTCTCGTCATCTTCACCAGGGGCCGCCCAGTTCCTAAGCCCATTATTATGTGCTAAAGACAACTGTCTCGATCCCGATTTTGGGTAATGTCCGCTTCTTACGGAGTCACAATGCAGAATATATCAAATTAGGGCAAAACAACTTGAGAAGTGGATCATGGCCTTGCCGGTTCGTCCACATCCATATCCTCTGCAGCATCTGACTCTTCCTGGTCGAGATCATTCGCCTCATCTTCGTCCGCCGCCGTAGCAGCAGCCTCTACCGCTTCCGCGGCAGCCGCCACCTGAGCCTCCAGCCTCTCCGCCTCCTGCAGCGCCTCCTCCTCGCCCTCGCCCTCGCTCTCCTCTTCCTCGCCTGCATCCGCGCTCCACTGCACGCGTTTCCCGCGCGCAGCATCAGAAGCAACCCCTCCCGCCGAATGAGCACCATTTGTACGGGCACTCGCACCCGCCGCATCAAGCTGACCCTTCCAGGACGCCTTAATCGACGCCCGGATATCAGTCGCCAGCTGCATCTCCCGCGAGGAGATCCCCTCGGGATCGAGCGTGAAGTCCGCAAGGGAGCTATCCGGCGCAACATGGTCCGGGAAGCGGAGGACGCGGGCGAACTCGCGCTCGTCGGCGGCGCGGCCGTCGAGCATGCTCTGCACTTTGGCGCGCATGATCGTCCTGGCTTTGCCGATGGTGCCGCTGCCGAACCAGCCGTCGACAGCGATTTCGCAGGTTTCTCGTAGGAAGCCTGGGGGTTGCGGATCGGGGAAGAGGATGGAGCGCAGGAGGGGGTCGGTGATGTCGCAGAACATCCACATCCGGCCGTCTGGTGGGAGGGGCGGAGTGCCGGTGAAGAGGTGTGTGTCTGTTGGTAAGGGGGTGAAGGCGTCGGTGCCCGTGGGGACCTCGTTGGGTCGTGGGATGGTGTGTCGTCTGCCGCTGCCGGCGTCACGGGCGAGCTCCGAGGTGCCGGAGAGGATGCGGAACATGACTGTTTGGTAGATGCGGTAGGTGGGGGAGGTGCGCGGGTCGTGGCCGAATTTGATGATGGCGTCGCGCCAGGGTCCGGAGCGAAAGATATAGCCTACGTAGGGGACGGCGTGGCGGAGGGCATAGCGCTGTTCGGGGGTTTTGAGGTGGTTGCGGAGGCCGCGGCGGGTCCAGGCTGGGCGCTCTTTGAAGAGATCTTCGACGAGGGCGATGGTTTCTCGTAGGGTTGGCTCGAGGGTGTCGATGGGGGCGAGGTTTTCGCGCGGCTTGATGGGCACGGGTGCATCGAAGGGAAGTAGATAGGTGTGCACTTTGGCGGCTTGGGAGGTGTTGACGGTGGTGAAGTTGCCAGAGGTGTCGACTGATTGTCGGACGGTTGGATTTTGGCGGTAACTTGGCTCGGTTAGTGTTGATGAATGGACATGTGGTGCAAGAGGCATACATGTAGGTAAATGGGACATCCCCATGACTGAGAGAGGGCGGCGGTATGATATCAACATTGGATGTGGCACCCTTGCTCATGTCAATATCAAACTGTTTCATCTTATCATCTGGTTCAATCTTAGTCATGACACTCTTTATCCAGGAATGCAATGCTTACAGTCAAAAGAGAGTATCTGCTCCCGGAATCGATTGGTGAATGCGCTCCCGGTGGTCGAGTAGACAAAGTCGGGCATTCCTAGAGGACGTATCAATCATCTGTCTCTCATGAAGAGGGGCAATGGCAATACAGACCCCGAAACACGTGCGTCCGGTTAACCATCCCAACCGGCTCAACCCTATACTTGCCCACATTGTCACTCAGACTTCGGAGTAGCTGCTTCGCACTCCTCCGCTGAGGCTGTTCATGGACAGTCGTGACAGGAACGCCAGAGAACGGTTCATCCGAGCCCTTCTTACGTTTCCGGCCGGTCCTCTTGGGAACTGTCACTTTGAGAAGGATATTGTTAGAAGCCGAGCTCGTCGACTGCAGTGGTCGAGACATGGCATCCTCTGGCCGCAGAAAGAGTTTGGCTCGGGTATCAGCCTTTGGGGGGTTCAGAATCTGATTTTGTTAGCATTATTCCTTAATGCACTATGGTAGATGCAATGTTACCTTTGAGATACCTGCATTGCCTTGTAGAGTGTCAATTGCCTTGTCGACGTCCTTGATGATGGCTGGGTGCTCCACGCTGACGATGTGACGAGCAGGGATTGAGTAGTAGGGTGCTGTTCTTGTCCCTTGTTGGTCCATCATATTGTCTGGACTGGTTGAGAATTCTTGATCCTCCATCACGCCTTGTGTCGTCACCAAATGTTGGCGTCAAGGGTAAATCATGAAGCCGTGATCAAGGAGAGGCGAGATATGTATATTTCCGCCGGATAACGGATGGGGCCTGGTGATGTATTGGAATCGGCAATCCGCCAACTCCACATGGTAGAACTAGTCTTTCAAATTGTGAGACTAGACATATGGAAGGCTACTTTGACAGTTGATACACGATGTCTATAGTGACGCTGAATCTAATCTTGAGGTATCGCCCTGGGACCTTGTCTCTACTGGCGATTAAGAATTGCCGGGTCACATGACTTATCTCGAGGCCAGACGTTACTGAGAGATTCTGTCCATCGAGTGTGATTTAATCTAACCGGTCTCTGATTTAGACTGCGATCTATTCAGTGTGAGCAGTGAGGTCTAGATAGTATGTAGATACTCCGTAGATAGACAACTGCTTGGATACCTGCAGCGTCTGTCCTTGTGTCGTGTGAACTTCTGCAGATTTACCAGCCCAAGCGCTCCTCAGCCACCGTGACAGGACAGTTTGTTTCATCCCCGTTGTAAGGACCACCACAACAACAATCGCTAGCATTCTACTGTGTATCTACTTCAGCGTGCAGCAATCTTCTGCAATTGCCGTTCCTGAGATTTTATATTACGGTTTCTTCTTGATATTAATAACCTTTTATTATCTCATTCCTTGTTGCAAGCCGCATTGTTCATCTTAATTTCTGGGGCTCTTGTACCCACCCCGCTCTTCCCAGCCAGCCAGCCGCTAAGCGACAAGGAGACAGACGATCGGCCCAAGCAGACCAAACCAAACCGACCTAATAGCTGCTCCTGACTATCTATCTATCGAAAACCGACTGGGTTCGCGTCCGAAAGAAAACTGAGAGATCTATCTGATCAGACTTGAGTCTCCTCCACTCGGCTTCGATATCCGCATTGTCAGATTCTGGAATACTCTACTGAGGTAAGTTGTGCAGCAATGGATTCTTGTGACTGGATTCAACGTTTCTGTTTGCCCCTGGTGCTACAACTGTCCGCTTGTTCCTTAACCTACCGCTTCCCCCCATTTTGACCCTCAACTCTGGGGTTATTCGTTCAACCCACCACTTCCTATTTTTTGGTTTTCGGGTCCGAAATCTTCGATCTTCCGACTTGAATGATTTGAAATCCTGCAATTTTTCGATTGATAATTCACCGTCGCTTTCTACCTGTTGTGGTTGGAACATGCTCATGTGGTCATCCCAGGCTGAACATAAACAAATCACGCTGTGGCTCCTCCTTGAACTGCGCTCGCGCTGCCCGACTTAACGCCTCCTGCTAGTGTGCGGCAGCTTGCTGCACTGGCATCGAGAACCTCGACCGAGTACATGTGGCTGGTTACATAGTCTTGACAATGAAGGGTTTCAGACAGAGAGTGGTGAGTCTGCTTAACGATCGCCGCCCCCCTCCCCGCCTTGATGCCTGGCCACCACCACAGACTGCGATACCACAAGTTCCTGGCTAAAATAATTATTCAGCATGAGCAGTTGTCGAGGGCCAAAGAAGCCAATAAGTCCTCGAAGAAGAAAGACTCCCAGAATCAGGCCGCCCTTGCCGCTCACCAGGCCCAGCAATCCGCGTCTCCGAACCACGGCACGCCGACTTCATCTACGACCTCCGTAAATGATATAAGGGGAAAGTCACCGGATAATGCCACGCAAGCGGGAGTGTACCCCGCTGGCCAGCATTATATTCCGCATGGTGCAGGTGTCGCTGGACAGCCTGTGAACAATGGACCGGGGACTCCGACCAAGCAAGGGCAGCCGATTGCGCCTAGCGTTATCATCAGCCCAAGCGCACCGCCGGTGAGTATCCTAGCAACGCTCCAACGTCCGTCGGAGACATTGGGGTCGCGCCGTGACTGTATCGATGGAACAACCGATGAGTGCTGACTTTCCCATCTCCATAGCATGTCCCTCCCCCTGGTGCCGCAGAGACGATGCCTGGCGACTTGGCCCCTCCGAGAAAATCTCATGTCTTTGATCGCCTCCAGACTACACCCAGGGATCTGTCGGAGGGAATTCGGACTCCAAAGCGCCAGCATTCGTCGCGATTCGATATCTCCGATCAGCGCCAACGGGAGTTGGAGAAACTTCCCGGATTCCACGAAGTGCCACCGAATCGGCGCCAAGAGCTTTTCATGCAGAAGATTGACCAGTGCAACATCATTTTCGACTTCAACGACCCTACAGCCGACATGAAGTCCAAGGAGATCAAGAGACTGGCGCTCCACGAGCTCCTGGACTACGTGGCGAATAACCGTTCAGTGATCACCGAACCCATGTACCCTCGAGTGGTCGAGATGTTCGCCAAAAATCTCTTTCGACCCATCCCTCCCCCAGTTACCCCCCAAGGCGAGGCTTTTGATCCCGAAGAGGATGAGCCGGTCCTGGAAGTGGCCTGGCCGCATATCCAGGTTGTATATGAGTTCTTCTTGCGATTTATCGAGAGTCAAGATTTCAACACCAACATCGCCAAGGCATATATCGATCATCATTTTGTCCTCCAGGTACAATTGAATCCTCGAAGCCCTTTCTTTTTCCCCTGAGAACCACGTACAGCGATACTAATCGTCATTAGTTGTTGGAGTTATTCGATTCGGAAGACCCGAGGGAACGGGATTTCCTCAAAACCACTTTGCATCGGATTTACGGAAAGTTCCTGAATCTGCGGTCTTATATCCGTCGATCCATCAACAACGTTTTCTTCCAATTCACGTACGAAACAGAGCGCTTCAACGGAATAGCCGAGTTGTTAGAAATTCTGGGGTCAATTATCAACGGATTTGCCTTGCCTCTGAAGGAGGAGCATAAGCTCTTCCTGACCCGGGTGCTGCTCCCCTTACACAAAGTCAAGAGTCTCAGCATGTATCACCCACAACTCGCTTATTGCATCGTCCAATTTCTTGAAAAGGATTCTACCTTGACTGAAGAGGTGAGGCTTTTTTTCGTTGTGGTATCCCTTCCACAGCTCTCCTGATAACTGTGATTTTAGGTCGTTCTGGGCTTGCTACGCTACTGGCCGAAGACGAACAGCACGAAGGAGGTCATGTATCTCAACGAAGTGGAAGATATCTTCGAAGTCATGGATCCGGCGGAATTTGCCAAGGTTCAAGTACCTCTTTTTCAACAACTGGCCAAGTCAGTTGCAAGTCCTCATTTCCAGGTCGCGGAACGTGCGCTCTACTTCTGGAACAATGAGTATTTCTGCAACTTGGTCAGTGACAATGTGGAGACGATCCTACCCATTATGTTCGCGCCGCTTTACGAAAACTCCAAGGGCCATTGGAATAGGTAAGTTGCTCATCAGAGTCTTGGATGTACTTCTTATGTCAAAATCGCTAACATACTTACCCTCTCATAGAACAATTCACAGCATGGTGTACAACGCCATGAAGATGTTCATGGAAATCAACCCTCAACTATTTGACGAATGTTCCCATGAATATAATGAGCGGCAGAACAGCGCCGAGCAGCGTGAGAAAGCTCGACAAGAGCGATGGGAGAAGGTCTTGGAGCGAGCCAAGCAAAGGAAGAACGGACTCTTACCACCACCAGCTCCACCTGCAGAAGTGCCAGCGCAAGTTGATGAGGTTGATGCCCTTGCTCAGGATAATCAGAAGCGTCTCAACGCCCTGAAACTGGAAGATTCTGCGGCAAACAAGGAGCGGAAAGAGGGTGCAACCACTACGGTATGTAGCATCCTACCCTGACTGCTCTTGTGTCCGCGTTTGCCTCGTGTGATTGTCACTCTTGATCGAGGACCATCTACTCTGATTTCTGTGTGGCATTCTGTATATGTTGCTAAGATTTTGCGTATTTCGGCGTCTAGCAAGCGTGATTCTAACGTTGAAACGTCCGTTTGCTCCAGAGACGGCGCCGAGGTTCTCTCGACGGTTCTTATACGCGAAGGCGACGAAGTGGTAGCGGCAGCGAGATTCGACCGCGTGTAGATCGACGACGGTCGGCTGGTTCGAACGCCGTATCGTTTTTGTCGCGGAGCAACTCTCTCAAGTGATGGTCGGTTTGGTAACATGACTACTCCGTTAGATTTTCTTTTTTGTGCAATGATGGCATAGCGACTATGAGCTGCGATGAAAGTGTATTTGACTTTGTTTGGCTTGACATACGATACAAGCCGTTCACCCGTGCGGGCCTTCTGCCTTGGTCGCTTTCCTCTTTCCCACCCCTCTTCTTTCTTTTGTACATGACTTTCAATATCCTTCACAGTGCGCGAGGCTTATAGAGCCCCCGCAATTGACCAAGCGGACATTTGATTTGGACTATTAGAACTCTGTTCGGGTCTGGAAAACGGGTGCGAATGGCGTTTCGCTCGATCGACCTAGTTGTCGGTTCAACTTTTTGAATTCCCATAATAAAGACTTCCAGTCACTCTATGGACCGTCGTATGCTTCCTCGTATGTTTGCGGATGCACGTGCCTTCAATGGGTAAAGTCAGGGTCAGGCACACTGACATGTAGTCGTTGGTCTTGATAAGTTATGTGACGCGACTACCGCAGTAGACGCGCGGCAGACGGAACGGGGAAACAGTTATCCGAAATTTCCTAATTTGGCCTAGTGTTTCCTTCGGGGTCTCTGCGATACCCGCGTTCTGCTCTACAGCTTTCTGCTCTGGGAGTTCTCAAGGCATGAGTCTGAGGTCTTATATTCTTCTTTCCTTCCACGCTCCCCTCCCCTACTTCTTGATATCCTCTTTTGGAGCGAATACTTTCCCTTTTGATTATTACCCCAAATACTAAGCGGGGAAATTTAATGACTTAACGACCGTGTTTCTTTTGCTCATCTAGCTAGAGTGTTTCCGTCGAGCGAGTCGAGAGACGATTCCTCCCTCGATGTCCCGCATGTGAGAAGGGCACGCGAAACCGGTTGTGCTGGCTCTTCAATAATTAGCCGGCCTCGCGGCCTGGCAGC